CGCCTCGTACCAACATTCTTCTTATTAGCAATGGTTAATTGTATCACTCTGTACGACCATATAAATCTACCAGCCTAGATTCTTGGTATGGCGGGTAATTCTGAGCTTAGATGATCAATGATCAAGTTTGAGATCCATTCACTAGGTCCTATATGGATTCATCCAAGCTTATACAAAAACGCGGAGGATGGCTGAGTGGCTAGTGATATTAGTCAATCATTCATGTTGTCAAGGACTAGAACATCATTCACCCTATTTCCAAATTTCCAAGCAATTTGAGATCTCCTCATCGCTCACAACGTATGCGGACAATGGGATACATAAGCGCTTGATCATGCCACATAGTACAAAGTTCAACTACATATAGCTTCTAGATACCAATCATACCATCGAGCCTATTATTAGTCTAATCGCTCTTTACGACGAGCGTAGCGAAATATCAGAATGTATAGAGCTCCGAGCCCATATGATTCTGCACAGTTTGTAACATATCCGCGATTTGGTGTATATATTGATAACTTTAGATTTCTTATTCTTTTGCAATTATCTGCGGTGAGTTCGGAGGAGGGGGGTTGCAGATTAATGAAAGATCAGCTATACACATATCCGCCAAGAGTCTTTCTACAGGGAAATGATATCGTCTCATAATACTATCTTCTCAATTTTTAGCTATCACTATCATTATTTTTGTGCTGTGATTTTTTATAATTCCGTTCTCCCTCATTCTCTTCTATCTCACCAATCTCCCTTATTAAAATCGTTGTTGCCGATTTCCAATTACTTAATTACTTACTCACCGTATTATATTCTTAATTTATCTCCGATATATGCCTTAGTTCATCCATTTCGGCTACTTGACTTTTATCTGATTCGGCAATTTTTGAAAAAGCGAGTTCTTGAAAACTATTGCCAAGATATTACAGAGGACACCAGGAATAGAGTAGTATTTCATTAGATAAGGATATATAGATACTTCCATACATGAAAATGAGATTGAGTGAGATGGTATGGAGCTTGAGGAGGGGTACTCATTCGATAGATGTGCATGAAAGATTCACTTGAATCACTTCATCTCCCACTATTTCTAGTTTACGATTTTTTAATAGTTCGAGAATTCTTGAGATATATAAACATCTAAGAAATCACATTGGCGCTGCAAAGGCAAAACATGAAATCGATAATACCGATTCAAGTGGTGATATTGTTGGAACCAAAAGTTTGCTATCTGCACAATCACTGTACAGTATATATCCCAACAGATATGGCAGATTACACATATACAAAAACAAGGACAACTGTACTCATAGACCCCTAGTTTATCTAGATATTTTCTACTAAAGCGACTTAGAGTCAAGATCATCTCATGACCCTGTTATAATTCTTTCTACCTGTGATTTGTGCTGTCTTTCGTCTTTCATCATTGTCTTCTATCTTCTTTCATTACCATTACCATTCTCATTCTCGTTTTCATCCCAACTTGAACACAGGTTTGTTTTACACTACATCCCCCTCAATTACATCATCACTATCCCATTTTACTACACTCCAGTATTCGTAACTCGTAAGTTAGTCCTCAGTCATTTTATGCATGACTGTAGGTTTTCTAAAAGGTTCCAGTGTATACTGATTCTTTGAGAACTCGCGGGAATTGAAACTTTAAATAATGCTCTAGATAAATTTCGAGGTCCGGATTGTAGGTGGAGCTTGATATTTGCTAAGGAAGGGGCAACTGGGAAGGGGGTATGATTTACTCGATATTTGGCTCTATATATATATACTTGCTTGGTATATATGACTCTTTGAGAGATATCAAGATTTTGGGACATTGAAAGGATCTTGTAAATTGAAATAAATAGCTGGAACTATACTTCTAAATAAAATTAAGGTGCGATATATCGTGCATTTCTATACAATCGAAGTTGAGGTGGATCATCCACTTCATCTCCAGTACCTCAGATATCTCTCCTTGGTCTGGACTTTCCATACTATTTTTAAACACCTCCAGATTCCAGCTTTAGAAAGAAAGACCAACAATGTTGTAACCGATCGATGTCTCAGTTTATTGGCTGCTGGCTTGAGCACTCCCGGACAATCGAGAGGATTTCTATTTTGTTGTATTTCAATTTTGTCTTGAAATTGCGTTCATTGTGGATTACATGCTGAAGTATTGGTAATGTAGTCTGTTATTTCTCATCTCACGTATATAATGGTTTCACTGTCGTTAAGTACAAAACTAGCTATACTATTCTTCAAATTCTATCATTCACATCTTATAAAAACGACTGTAGCAATACCTCTCCATCATATTACAGATCTAGCGAGATCCAACCGATCACATTATTCCAGCCACAAACTCCTAGGAACCTTAAGACAGTACTCGGGTACATCATCGCATCAACCCCTTCAGTAGTCAACACAAAACTCAAATAATACTCATCATCCTCATATTTTCCCCCATTGCATTGTGTAACCAAAACTATCACTTGTAATCTCAACCAAGAGTAACGCACTTTTGAATAACCCACAGACTCAAATTCTCAAATCCAAAATATAAAACCAGCATCTACAGCCCTTCATCCAAGTCCAAGTCTAGGTCCAAGTCCAGGTCCATAACACTTTACAATTAACTATACTCGAGTATTACTATCAATAAATTTAGCGTTTGTACTCAAGTAAACCCTCTAGCGAGTCACGAATTCAGAGTACATACTTGAGTATATTACTAGATCTCGAAATATATAAGATATTATAACTCCTTTATAAAATCCTACTACTAGTAAATAAATGGAATTCCATCAGGCTCCTAATGTATCTCGCACTATAAAAGGTAGCCAAAAGAAACCAAATCAAATCATCCTTTATAATCTCCCTGAGCTCTCATAAGATATAAATCTGTGAATTACTTGAGTATATGGAATTAGTATTGCACCTCAAGATATAAAATTCAGGATCCCAGAATCCTAATATTCTAAGATTCCCAACCCAGATTCACATCAAACTAATTTATTATTTATTTGATTAGATTTGATCTCGAACTTGGAGGGGGGGGGGG